TACGGCAGCAAGGGAGAAGGGAAATTAACGGTGGCGGAAGGTCTCCCCAACATCCAAGCTGTCGCCGCCCGCCCACCCGAGGATGCAAGGGGGGGGGGGGAAATTAAGTCATCCCCGAAAAGACGGCCTAGCCGGTTTTTCGGGGGTCAAAAAAAAAATAAGGCCCGGCCTTATTATGTGAGAAACACGGTAGTAAAATAACAAAACAATTTAGACTGCATATGAACACCTTCCTAGAGATAGCAAGAATAGGTTAAAGAATCAGGATGGAATTGGGATTAGAATGGCTATCGTTTATATGAAATATAAAATCCATTTACTTAATAGAATATTTCAGTCGAGAACTTTAAATGTATAAATGAAGAACAACCCAATACTCATTCAAGTAGCTGCATTATTTTTAGGAGTGTGCAATTCTTATATTGTAGTCATGTGATTCTGAAGTAAACGTGGCTGTTTTAATGAGGCAAAACACATGATGCAACGTTCTCAAGAGTAACTTTTCAAAACTGAATCCAAAACTTTGCAGAGCCATTTAACTGATTCATTAGCATCATGCTCTAATCTCACCTTCTGCCTACTCCCATGAGCAAGTGCCAATTCATACATTAGAAATGTACACATTATTTTATGTACAGAACAGATACTGTACAACCAATGTATTTCAGATTTCAGTTCTGCACAATTAAGTTTGGCAGAAACCCCAGAATGCAGTGACATCTCCTTCTTGAAAAGAACCATTTTTTTTTCAATTTTATGGTTACCTCAACCAGACAAGTCCAAGCATAATTTAGCATGGTATGTGAAGCATGGATATGCCAAATGAATGACAGAGCCTTAGTTAGCTACATCATGTCATGGCACTGTTTGGTTCCGGGGTGGACCACAGGTAAGTATTTTAGAAAAACACATCATGTGATAAAATAGCCATGTACTTAAGTGATCAGGAGAGTGAAATGCTGAAAAAATAAAGGAGGAAGATCTAGTAGAATGACACTCCAGGAGCGTGTTGCTTTCAATTTAAAATCTTCACAACAAATCCAAGTATTCTATCAGCATATCTGGTGAGGAAGGTTGAGGGGAGGGAAGATGCTGAAAAAATAAAGGGTAATGCAACTGATCAATAGGATATGTTACACCATGAGCTGCTGAGAGTAGAAGGGGAAAAAGAGCATAAAATGTACCAGCCTTGTGCTACTCGTCCCAAACAGGATTCCCACTCTGAAATTCTCTTCCCCCAGATGTTAGTTTGTCTGAAATGAACAACCCAAACATTCAATATTTTGTTTTTCTTAAGATTTGTCTAATGTGAAAGTGTAAGGAATAACTTACAAATAAGGTCAAGTTGTTTTTGAATCAGGGAATGCAATACTTTTTACAAAGCAATTATATACAAGTTATTTTGATAAAATGGTAGAACATGATTCAATAACTATACAATCCAATCTTGTATTAACTGGATATTCACTAAAAATGCAACTGTATTTAAGCAAACCATATTCTGTAGTATGATGCACAATTATTTGGGGAAAGCTAGTGTGGTGTAGTAGTTATAGCATCAGGCTAGAATCCAGGAGACTTGGAATTCTAGTCCCACTTTAAGGCACTAAGCAGAGTGGGCAATATTGGGTCAGACAATGGCAAACCTTTACTTTTAGAATCTTGCCTAAAATTACAGGGACTTGTATAGGCCGTTGTCATGAGTCAACACCAATTTGAAGGCAGATGTACACATACAGATGTGGGGTAAATCCCACAATAAATCACAAGATTGATCAACCCCATGTCTTAAATTGTATTTTTAGAAAAAAAAATCTGTTGGGATCCTAATTTCAATTTCTCCTTACATTTACCTAAATCAATATGCATTAGCACATCAGATTGTCTAATGAAATAAATGCAATAATGCTAGTGCACATTTTTAAATATGTGCAGATTTTGCAGTGATATTTTGGTAAGTAAAAATAGCCCATCTGCAGAAGGTGAACTCTTGGTCAAAAAAGTACTGCTTAAAGATGACACTCAATTTTTGACTAGCATCTAACAAAGAATAGTAGTGAGACAGTGGTTTTTTGTTTTTGTGAGTCAATACTGGAACAGTATTGTAAGGATAAGAGAAAAACTCAATTTACTTTTAAAAAATCTCCTCAGATTGGCACCTTCACTTTAAAAATCTTCAAATAAAACATATTTCTTAAAGTAACAAGGACAACCACTAACATATTTGCAAATGATATTGTGGATGTCATTTTAAAATTACCATCCACATATTAAATTTTCATTCAGTTAAACAATTGTTGCATCATGGAATAAATTAATGACCGCTAGTAGCCAAACTTATAAACATTGATCTTCAGACTTACATGCACACAAATTGCTTACTCGATTGCAAACTAATCCAACACCTCTTTAAATCCATGCTCCATATACCTGTATTGCAACTGCTAGGCCATTTTTCACATCTTGCTTACAGTACAGAAATGTAACAGGAATTATCTAATTAGAAACTAATATTTCCCAACCAAATTCATTCCAATGATATTGTATGGCATTCTGTAATTCTTCGTGCACAAGGGGAATACATAGTATTTATTTATTTATGTCAAGCAATTACAAGATAATAGGTATAAGTATAAACATAGTTATGAATACATGAAATGGATACATATAAGTAAAATAAAAAGAAACAATAGGACAGGGACTGTAGGCACGTTGGTGCGCTTATGCACGTCCCCTACAGACCTCTTAGAAAAGGGGTGAGGTCAATAGTAGACAATCTAAGGTTAAAGTTTTTGGGGTTTGGGGAAGAAACCAGAGTCAGTAGTTCAACATACTTAACAGCCACGAAGTGAGGTCATAGGAATTAGTCAAAGATTTTCTGGGGTAATGATCTTTGGGAAATATAAATATCTATTTATTTGTCCATTAGATTTATATATCCTAATTTTCCTCCAAAAGCTCAATACAATTTATAAGAAAATTATTTCACTCGGACAATAACGGCCTATCAGGTAATCTGAGTTGGGAACTAACGATTGGCCCAAAGACTCCATGGCAAACTTTAGCTTCCATGGCAAACTTTAACACTTTAATCTCTACACCAGAATGGCTTTCATTGCTGTTGCATTTTACTGGCTTTCCTTTCCATTTTATTTTGCAACTTTTAAAGGTAGAAAAAATACCCAAGAGTATTCAAACATACAAAGGACCAGGGAAAAGGAAGAGAAAGTCATATTGTAAGCCGCCCAGAAACGCTGGAAAGAGAGAACAGGTGGCACATAAATTTAATAAACTACAAAGAGTGGGAAAAGATGCAGAAAAGGATGGCTTTTAAAACGCGTATAAACAGCAACAAAGCCTTCGCAATCAAACGGGATCTGTTCACATTTTAAAGCCACTATCGAGGACTTAAAAAACTTTTAAATGGAAGTGAGTCAGCGCCACCAGGATTGGAGATCAGAATACACTCGTGGCGGCCCTTTACTGTATACCTACTATATACACGTGAAGGCGGCTCTGGGCCTAAAATTTGGAACAGCAGCCAGAAAGGGAGTGGATGGGAAAAGAGGCGGAGGAAGAGGCGCGCCTCCAACGAGACGAGGCCCCGAAACTGATCGATAACTTTCCAAGTCGTGTGGGAAGCCCAGGAAAAGAGAGAAACCCGAATCACTCCAGCTTCCGCCAGCTTCCTCAACCCTCTACCACGCCTCCGCCGGTCGAACAAAATCTCCTATCTTTGTTTCCCCACTCCTCGCCTTTCCTACCCGCGCCGCTCCTCACACCTCAGGCTTGGGAGGGGGGAAGCCACTTCGGCCTCCCGCGAACAAAGAAGGCCAGCCCACCCCCCGTCACCCCGAGCCACTTTCCACCCGCCAGTCAAGTCGGGGAGGTCGGATGGGTTGATAGGCGCACAAGGCGCGGGAACAGCAGCCGGGTTTTGAGGGCGGCGGTGGGGGGGGGGGGAGGCGCAGCCGGTCTCCTCAGGCTCCTGCTTCACTCCCGCCCATAGCGAGACCGAGGGGCGGTAGCGTCGCCAAGGGAAGGCAGACTCAGCGTTCTCTTCGAACCGACCCTCGTCCTCCCCCCTCCGCCCAGGGGCGGTAATCCGCCCCTCCCGCCATCTCGCTTTCCCTCTCCCGCCAGAAACCACCGCAGCGCGGCCGGCCTGTATGGGGGAGGGAATGTAAACAAACGGGGTTTTATAGCTACCTCAGCTCGAGTGTGCCGTGTGCATCTCCCTCTCCGCTCGGTACCAAACCGCCGCGCGCGGGTGCCGCCTCCTCCTCCCACTCCGCAGTGTTGCTGCTGCCGCTGCTGATGCTGCCGGTGCTACTACTACGACAGCTAGCTGCTTGCTACTTTCCCAGGGCCTCCGCTACGCCATTCATCAAAACAGCTTACGCCGGGCGCCGACCTTCTGCCGAAGCCGAGCTATCGCTTGGCGCGCGGCTAAACTACGCCACCTCACCTCCCCCCGCCTCTGCAGGGCCGATGCGGAGAGTAGTGGCCCTACGCAAACGGCGTAACTGCGTTAGCGGCGGCAGCAGCTGCGGGATTTCGCAGAGGAGAGCATGCGCAGTGGAGCGAGGGGCTTTTAACAGAAAGGCTGTTTTCTTTTTCGCCTCGTGTTTACTGGATTGAGGGGCGGGGGTATTGGGGAATCCGCTTGTAAACCCGTGTACTGTACAACGAAGACCGCCCACTTTGGAGCCTTTCTTCGATTTTGGTGTGTAAATGATGATCCCGGGTATTTCAGCACTTCCTTGGAGAGAGGAATTGGGGTAAAAGTTATAAATATTCAAGGGTGGAGCAAAAAAAGAATGAAAAGACATGGTTTGCACAGAAAAGAGAATAGAGAATAAAAGTAAGATTAAGGCCATAATAGGAATAACCTTTGGACCAAAACCTCTAATTTTGAAATTGGCTTACAGTAATCGTCCCCATTCATAAATTCCTTGATTTCCAAATGGACCAATTTCTTTTGGACTTGTTCTGTGCTTTGTAAATGAATCTGCCGTATTGGACTTTGAATTGTACCTAACAGCCATTTAACGACTTGTATCCCAGTTCGTGTCCATCCTTGGTTAATCTTGGAAACGCTAATCAGATTCTCCTTGGATAAAAGGTCACTGCAAGCTGTAGTAGGCTATATTGGGAAACGGAAGAAAATCCCAGAGGATTGTAACTGGCAACTTCCTTCCATTTTGAGGCCAAGCAGTGCACTTGAATGTGCCTGTCACCAAAGAGTTGAACTCAGTTGAAAGGAATCTTTCATTTTTAGATGGATAATTAGCACCTTCAAAACTGAACCACCTTATTCTCTGCCAAATGTTGGGTCTTCATTACCAGAAAAAAAATATGTTAAGGAGGTACATGAGGGAAGATAGTTACAGCATCTTTGAAACTCTAGTATGAAAAGACTTAATTCATCAAATAATGTCCACATTTAATAGTAATCCAGAAGGCCCATATCGGAAGTGTTATATCAAGAAAAAAAAATTGATATGTTCATCCTACATTGTGATGATGCTTTAATAAATTATGTCCCCAATGGATATTCTTCAAGAGTTACTTTTCAGACTTGGGCCATTACTGTGAAATGAATATTAAAAATAAAAAATGTAACATTCACTTGACTTCATTCCTAAAAATATATGTGGAACGTGGATGTCTGTTACCCCTGTAACCTTTCCATGAATTTTCACCATTAAAAAAAAATGCTGTAGATATCAATTATGGGGGGACAGGAAAAACAGCTGCACAATATTCTTTGTTTGGCAGCTCTAAAAGTCACTATGCTTTAATGAAAATCCAGGAAGATCACAATAGTTGATTGAATTATGCAATACTTCAAAACATACTGAGTAATGGAGCAGCTACATCTCTTCTCAGAATTACATCACAGCTGCTTTAAGGGGTTACAAATGTGCAAGGAAGTTTCTTTTAAATCATGGTTTACCTGAGTATTGGCTTTCAAACAAAAGATGTGAACAGCAAGGAAATGTCTCTTTTTTATTATGCTTATTAGCTATTCAGGAGCTGCAATTTCTTCCAGGTCAAAAACAAAGGATCAGATCAGGTTGAGTGGGGACCTACTCAACAAAGCATCCATTGTCCAACCATTCACATAAGCTTCATTCATTTATCTCCCTGTCGAAATGGCCCCTCCCACTGATTTCCTTCAGTGTCAGGTAAATGCCACTATAGTTTGTTTCTTAAAGGAGAAGGGAGTCTGATTTTCTCTTTCCAGAGCAATTTAACCCCCTTTTTTTCATTCAGCACTGCACTTAGGGTCATATACAGAGTACTGGCTTTTTACATTGACTGCTATAAAGAAAATAGTGGAAGGATGAGAGTACTTGTTTTTATAGCTTTTTATTCAAAGCACCTTTCTTTAACCAGGTACCTCCATATGTTTTATCAGACTACAAGTCTTGCAATCTGGTTGGAAGTGATGAGAACTATAGTTTGACAAAGTTCTGGAGGACATTAAAGCTGTTCAAGTGTGTGATGGTTATTAGGAATGTAAAGTTAAGAAATTACAGTGTGTTTGGGGGCAGCACATTCACATTAAGAGAAACATTTGTAGGATAAATCCATTCGAAATTAAGAAATGTATATCATATATTGTCTATCTTGCTAGATTTATGTAAAATATACCGTATAATGTTTCTTTATGGGTCTGGTTGACTTTATGGAACAATAATTGTCCTATAAATTCTATGGGCTATAGTAATTATTACACATAGTTGTTAGAAAATAACAAGACATCATATTGCAAAGCAAGAACAAAAATATGTTCACTACTGCTCATTACCAATTGAGAGTCCTGTTTCAGTATTGTTTGCAGATTGTGTGAAGATGTGGGATGTACTTTACTAACACAAAGTGTTCTGTTCAGGTGCTCTGGTACTTTGAAAGTTATTGATGGATGTGTTGATCATATAGCAAACAACTAAAAATCAGCAGCTTGATATGTTCATTCAGGCAGTGTATTTGTTTAATTGCCTCGTGATGGGTATGCCCCCAAGTTTGATGATCCCTACCTCTCAGTTCCTCAGAATCTTCCACAGCCAATCTTCCACAGTGTTTCCAAGAAATCCATGGCCTTCTTCCACTTCAGCCACATACAGTTAGGCCTAAGATTTCAAGCTCTTCCAGTGGTTTTTGCTTCCTATTGTGGGAGTTGTTTTATGTTAATCTGCACTTGGCAACTTTCAGAAATTTGCTGGTATCTGCCAGCCTTTCCTATATTAAACTTCAGCCCTTGCAGGATTGTGATTACGATGTTAATAACTCTTTGGAATTCCAGAGCAGATTAAGGGCAGGTGAAGTTACACCCATTCAGAATGCAGGTCCTGCCAGGTTTGGATCTGCATTCTTTAGATATTCATAAAGGCAGTAAGATACTGTCACCACACTAACACACAAATCATAGCTATTTGGAATATGCTAGCTCACAGATGATATCTAAAAATTAAACTTGTATCTGTTTCCTTTTGCCATCATTTATAGTTTCCCAGTTAACAACAAGGTCTGAATTTTGTAATTCTGAGTTGCAAAGGGAATTTATAGCATAATTTGGAAATACTTCAAGATGAACTCTTTTGCCCCAGAAAATGGTTGTGTAGAGCAGAAGGCTTTGGGGACAGCAGAGAGATAATTTAGCATTTTGGTATTACTGACTTACTCAGACCATCCTTTAGATGGTAATGTGTATTGTGCTTTTTGGCTTTCAGGTATAATCAACAAATTCTGCTGAATTTGTCCTCTCCAAGGTTTATTTTGGCAGGTTGAACTTGGAACTTCAGCCCCAAATTCCTATCCATGTGGCTTAGTCCTGTCCACAATGGCTTAGCAGTTTAAGCAGCCCAGCTCTGTAAGTGTAGAACATCAAAGTGTAGAATTAAAAAGAATAGTCCATTCAGTTGCATGTAAGTGACAAGAAGCTGGGAAGAGTAGGCGTTGAAAAAGAGGGCTTGTTGCTACACAGTAGTGCCTATTCAGCTTTTTTTCTTTGCAGTTCCTGAAGTAGTACCTTGACCATTGACAGTCAATTTAAGATGGTGTGATTATAATGATTTTGAAGATGACACATGTGGAAACTTTTACAAAATAGATTTGCATCAATGCCAGTTGAGGATAGGATGTTAGGCAATGTGCACTTGAACCCAATCCTTGTGCTTTAAATAATAAAGTATATTGTGCTGCTTCTGTATTAGACAGAAGATGCAATAATAACGTACAACAGCTGTTTACTCAGTGGGTACTATTTTGATAGGAATCTCAGCAGAGCTTCTGAAAGCTGTTATCCTCCAAAAGGAAGTAGTGGATGTATAAAATAAAAATATAAAAAAGCAGGAATTTAAGATAGAATAGAGTGTATTTAAAATTGTGAGCTGGGTTATGCTTAATGCGACTTAAAATATGTGTTTCTTTGATTCCCTATATGCTCATAAGTATAGTAGTTGTTTATTAATGAATATGCCAACTTTCATCTTAAAATATCCCAAAGAGTTATTCTCACTAAAAATACTTTTAAAACATTTAGTGGAAAAGAAAAGTACTGATTATAATAAAAAGTTTAAATGTACTTGAACTTTAGTAGCTCAGGTTGGTTGTTGGGCTGTTTGGCTGAGCTCCCAGCTTGGCAAATTGGTTGCAAATGTTTCATCCAGAGGTAGTATTCTGCAGGTTCTGACCGGTTCTGGAGAATTGGTAGCAGAAATTTTGAGTAGTTCAGAGAACTAGCAAATACCACCTCTGAATGGCCCCGCCCCCATCTATTCTCTGGTTCCCAAATCCCAGCTGATCGGCTGGGTCTTCTTTTGTTGCCCTGCACAGGAGAATGGAACTGGAAAGCAGGTCAGTGGGATGGGGAGGGAATGGAGATTTTACAGTATCCTTCCCCTGCCAAGCCTACCAAACCAAGGCCACAGAACCAGTAATAAAAATGTTTGAATCCTACCACTGGATTCATCACCATTCAAGGAGACATTGTCAGTGTGCTTTGAATTGTGCTTGTTTGTTGGAACACTGGCTTTGTTGAATACCTTTTTATGTGATGCAAATTAGTGTGAGTATTGTTTGTTCAGCTACTTCTGAGTTGTTGGTCTGATTTCGAACTGTTTGATTGGATGGCTGTTGTTACGGAGACATGGTCTTTGGTTTTAAGTACCATCTGTGTGATGTAAATTAGTGTTGTCTGTTCTAATGCTTCTGAGTCATGGTCTGATTTTGGGCTGTTTGGCTGGTTGTTGTTAATGAGATGTCTGATTTCTTGTGAGCTGATGGGTTATGATTTTTGTTGTTGCGTAGTGGGGTGCCTGCTTGTTCATTTTAAAATGCTATCTTCGGGATCACGGTTGATGCAGTTGAACAAACAACACCCACAAATGTTAGCTGAAGAAACAATACCAACAAAAGGTCAGAGGAGCACAATTCAAAGCACACTGAGGATGTCTCCTTGAATAGTGATGA